AAGAAAAAACTGTTATAAAGATTATGGTACTGAAATCAAATAAATATGCAATTACACTCGCATGAAAACAAACGCCGTTGGGTCTTACTAGGACCAAAAAAATTTTAAGAAACACATAAAACTAAAGAAACTAAGAAAACAGACCTGGGTTGGGCCGACCTCTGGATCGCGCAACAGATTTGAAAAAGGGTGCAAATCCCCTCCGTGTCCTACCAACCATCCCTCTCGTCATGTGACGTAAGTGGGTGAAGCAATGCCATTCCGTATAGCCCAATGCGCTAGATTGTAATTTTGACAGGAACTCTTATCCCCCCTTTTCTAAAGAGGGTTTGAGAGACGCGAAAAGACATGAAAAGAACTCAAAATGGTGTCAGTCAAGTTGTTAGAAGAACAAAACTGCTTCAAAAAAGTGAAAAAATGGCTAATTCAGCTAAGATACTTATTTTGGCCACAAAAGAAAGAGTAAAATTGAAAAAAGGTCATTTGTTAATAAAAGTCGTCATTCTTCAAGCTAGAGGGCGGTCAAGCTACTATGAAAAATGAAAAGGCCCGATTTGTTAATAATAGTAGAATTTGGCCATCTAAGTAATTCAAAACTATTTAAACAATAGTATTAAAGTATAGTGCCAAAATCTTGGGAGGAAAGAAAATGTAGTGACAAGAAAAATCTATACATTTTTATAATTTTTACATTAGATTATCTGAATCAGCCATCCACTTTATACCGTCCCATTGGGCAGTAAGTATAAAATTTCATTATCCAAAACAAATTATCTAAAAATTGGTAAGGCTAATGCCAGCTTTTTTTAAAGTATTTTTAATTATTTTATGAGGAATTTGGTTATTTTTCAAAATTGTGACGAAGTAAAGTATTTCTTCTTGTAAGTGTTCTGTAGTATTACATATTCTTTTTATTCTAAGTAGCTGTAAAAAATTGTGTTAATGATGATTCTTTTGGAAATATTAGAATTCCAGTTGGTTAACTTTAGTGTAGAAAAAGTGAATTCTCTCCTCTTGTCGTAAACTTTAATAAAATTGTAATCAATAATATTTAAGTCAAGGTAGACTACATCATTAACACAATTTTTTCACAGCTACTTAGAATAAAAATAATATGTAATACTACAGAACACTTACAAGATAAAATACTTTACTTCGTCACAATTTTGAAAAATAAACAAATTCCTCAGAAAATAATTAAAAATACTTTAAAAAAAGCTGGCAGCCTTACCAATTTTTAGATAAATTTGTTTTGGATAATGAAATTTTATACTTAAAGCCCAATGGGACGGTATAAAGTGGATGGCTGATTCAGATATTCTAATGTAAAAATTGTAAAAATGTACAGATTTTTCTCGTCACTACATTTTCTTTCCTCCCAAGATTTTAGCACTATACTTTAATACTATTGTTTAAATAGTTTTGAATTACTTAGATGGCCAAATTCTACTATTATTAACAAATCCGGCCTTTTCATTTTTCATAGTAGCTTGACCGCCCTCTAGCTTGAAGAATGACGACTTTTATTAACAAATGACTTTTTTCCATTTTACTCTTTCTTTTGTGGCCAAAATAAGTATCTTAGCTGAATTAGCCATTTTCACTTTTTTGAAGCAGTTTTGTTCTTCTACCAACTTGACTGACACCATTTTGAGTTCTTTCCATGTCTTTTCGCATCTTTCAAACCCTCTTTAGAAAAGGGAGGATAAGAGTTCCCGCCAAAATTACAATCTAGCGCATTGGCCTATATGGAATAGCATTGCTTCACCCACTTACGTCACATGACGAGAGGGATGGTTGGTAGAACACGGAGGGGATTTGCATCCTTTTTCAAATCTGTTGCGTGATCCAGAGGTCGGCCCACCCAGGTCTGTTTTTTTAGTTTCTTTTGTTTTATGTGTTTCTTAAAATTTCTTTGGTCCTAGTAAGACCCAACGGCGTTTGTTTTCATGCGAGTTTAATTGCATATTTATTTGATTTCAGTACCATAATCTTTATAAAAGTTTTTTCTTCTTTAAGCTAGCAGGACCAGCCCGTACGTTATTGTAATTTTGACTAATAGCAGACCGCTATTTATTTTATTTTGATTTTAATTTTGTATTGCTCGGAGTTGCATTTACCTTTTTTTACACCTTAATGTGTTTTTCTGTGGATGCGTCGGGAAAAAGGAACAGAGAATTGAAGCTCCAAAAAAATTTTTTGGGACAATTCATATTTATTTAATTTTTTTTTTTTTTCATGAAACAAGAGCTTCAATGGTCTGTTTCAGCGAAACGCGTAATGGTATTTGGCCTAGTTCGACATTCAATCATTTTTCCCTTGAAAAGCCTGGTTGAGGGTCCGAATGGGCTAATTTACCATTTTCTGCTTTGTAATTTTTATAATTTTTGTAATTTTGCATTTTATGTTTTAATTATAATTTTTGCAATTTATGTTTTAATTATTTTTTAATTTAATTTTGTTTTAACTTGTTACGTCAATTTATTTTTATATATTTTTATATGTATTAACTTTTCACATGTCTCAACGGTCAGATTAGTTTTTTTGTGCATTCACAAGTTTTGAAAATTGATTTTTTTTTTTTTTTTTTAAGTTTTAATTTCGCGTGTAAGCAGTTTTTTCTTTTTTCCTTGTTAATAATTTTTTAAAAAGATTTCTTCTATGTTAATATTTTAGTAATACTGCGTTGAACTATTTCATGGAGCTACAGCTCCTGGTAACTTTTTAGCAAGCTTGCTACAATATTTCTTCCTATTATTTCATATTTTTGCAGCATTTTGCGCAAAAATTTTTAAGACCAAATAGGTCTTACGTCTCATTACTTGTTAGCTTTTCAATTTCTATTTCCATTATATATATATATATATAAGTAAATTTTACAAAATAAATATTCACTGTCTACATAAAATATATCAATTTACCACCAATGCAGTATTGGAAAATGTTATCATTCTGGAATTAAACAGGGGAATTTTAAGGAAATTTATCATTTCCAGTTCTGAAAAGTAAATCATTAAGTACTTCATAAAAATACTTCATTTACAATTATTAGCACTGCAGTTTAATGTGTTTCTTGTTTCCACTTAAATTGCATGGCACCTAAATCATTATTTTCATTATTTCAGGATGGTCATCTTAATCATAGGCTTTCAAGAAGAAAAAGACAGCAAAAAATGTTTTTACTAAGATATTTAATTTTCATATTAATAATTTTAAAACCTTTTGATGAATAGCCATGATTTAAAATCTCTCACTGCTCTTGTCCAAATAAACCTTAACAGGTTACTAGCAATTAGTCATGGCAATGATCAGATGGAAGTAATTAACCCTCTGAGTGCCATGACCACTGCAGCAAGTTAGCAAGAACAAAGAGACAGTGTATTTATTTTATTCAATACTCTAGACTATATGAAACTCTAGACTTTGTTGAAAAATATGAACAAAGTCTGTTACAAAACTCTGTCCAATTGTAGGATATATGTCCTTAGGAAATTTTGTCTTTGGTGCATGGTGAAATTCCAATGAAGGGCAAACAGCCTTGCTACACCATTCCAAGTAAGTTGCTCTCAAGTCAGGAAAAAGGCAGTGGAAAATCCAGCCACTTGCTCTCAGATCTCTGTGCAGAGAGTTGGAGTGCTGTTGGCAGAGTAAAATAAAATTGCTCGATAGAGCAGAAACACAAGAGAGAAGGTTTCGCTCTTCCCGCTCAAAATTCATTAGCTAATTCTCTCTCTGGAGCAGCATTTCTTGTTTTTGTTCAAGATGTCCTGGGTGTGTAAGGTTGACTTCTGAATTCTCATTTGGAAGAAAATTTTCACAGCATCTCCCAAGTGGCAACAGCATCTGATTGATTGCACATATAATGATGGCCAGGCATGGGAAATCTGAGTGAGAATTCTCCGGCTTCGATTTAAGACTCAAATTGAGTGGTCAGTGACAGTGCATAACAAAACATCTAAAAACAGATGCAGAAATTTTGGATGAAGGAGTTCTAATTTCCAGATTTTCTCCAAAACAGAACGTTTCTCCTTCACACTACCATGAAGGAAACGAAGAATTGAGAATGGTATGTGATTACAGGTTATGTTCAGCTTTTCTGAGAATTTCTAGTGGTTGTTAGGAAATAACTTTTTCCAGGAATTTTGAGGTGGTCATCAGAAGCTACTTGAAGATGTTACAGCTATAGTAACTGCTAAATGGTCATTATGAAATAACGTTTTTCAAGAATTTCAGGTTGGTCATTAGAAAACAGCTGAAAAAGTTACACCGCACTTATCTGGTCATTAGATTTTCTGTGCTTTGATAAAATATTTTATTTTTATTTTCTGTAATGACCTAAATATTATCCTATTGCCTGGGAGGTTATGAAAACAAAGAGATGCACTCTGCAAGTCCAGCTAGCAAGTGCTTTTTAAATACAGCTAGCTCTTCCTGAGCATATCCAAAATGCTCAGAATAATGCTGTAGTTTTGAAATCTGACTCTCAGTTGAAAGGTTGGGATGCTTTGCTGTTTCCATAATTTTTCCTGTATGTAATAAACACTTGTTTCCCCCAAAAATTTATCAAAGCTTGCTATCACAGACAGATAGTCCTAATGTGCATTGTTACTATTCAACACAGCATAAGTTACTATATGTCCTTTTGTTTCCTCAACATTGCAAAAGCCACAAGAACTACCTCTTGTATAACACCTTCTGTTAATGATTTTCCAAAGGAAAATACTTCACATTTATATTATACATGCAAAAATGCTTTGAGAACATTTAGGAAGAGCGCAGGTTCTCTTGCACGATGAACCTGAGATAAAACCAACAATTTTCAGTAATTACAGGTACCCAAACATTATAATGAATACCATACCAAGACGGTATTTAAATTTTAAGAGCAGTTCATGGCACAAAAAGAAAAAGAAGTTTCTATCTAAAAACGTTTTCACTTTTAAATAAGTACAAAAGTGAACACCAAAAATTTAAGATTTTTGTAAATAATACATACTTACTCTTTTCAATCCAGCAATGGCTAAAAGGATTTCATCTTCATGTTGTAAAGACTGATTTACCATGCTCTCCTGTAACTTTTCTAAATGCTGTGTCATTTGTTGTACACAGATTTCGTTCATAAACTTTAGTTCTGAAAGTTCTGTCTTTAACATTTTCACTTCTTCAGCTGAGTTGATCTATGATATTGATATTATTAATTTCACAAATACAATTTCTGACACACTATGCTTAAAAACTGTAATTAAAAAGTACTTATACAATTAACAGTACTCAATAAAAACCACATGAATAAATAATTTAACATTCTACTTATACAGCAGATTATTATTTAACAAAAAATCAAATCAGTAATTGATCTAAGATGTATGAACTGATATTGAGGTAATGCTGAATTTATATTGCTAAAATTTTAAAACAGAAATCTATACAATATTTTAACAGAATTAAATACACTACTTTTGTAACATATTTAATGCATAACAGAATGAGAAATATATAATAAAGCCATTTGGCCGACGAAAACCAAAACACAAAAATAATGTCTCACAAATCAAAACATGAATGGCTAAAATAATAAAAAGAGAAAGCTAAAAAGTAATAAAATCTACAAAACTTTTAATCACAATATGCGGTTTGTAATATAACTAATAGACATTATTATGACAAAGTCCAACCCAGATAAAAATTTACAATCAATTTTCATATTTTTTCAATACAGTAACTATTTTTCCTGCATGAAGCTGCTCATTTTAGAATTAAATGAAATAAGTCTGAAGCTAACAAAAAGATTTTACAAAAGTAATAATTTAACATGATCTAGTAAGGAACAAAAAAATTAATAATACATGTAACACAACAAGTTCATAAAATGTAAATAGAGCTTTTACTTCCTCAAATACAGATCTCAGACATCCATTTACAACTATAAAGTTCCTCAAAATTGGTTACAGAATTTTGAACAATAAAATTTTATCATCATCAGAATAAAATTCTGCAAATACACTGTCAAAAAAAAAATATGCACCCAGAAAAAATTCAGTGACAACTACAAAATGTGAATTGCTAATGTGGTTTGGCAACTTGTGTAAAATATCCTTGCAGCAGCAATCAGTGTTGTGGAGCAATACAATGTACTCTGAAGTGTGCAGCTGGTACAATGTAAAAGGATGGATGCGGTGCATGACGAGCATGTATAACTGTGCTGATTGATGGCTTGGATATATGACATTGTAATGAAAGTTGCCTTTAAGATATAATCGATGGTGTTATGAACAGTTGTTAAAACTTTGAGAGGGGCATGCCATAAGGGTAAAAGAGGCCAATTGGTCGAACAAGTAGATTGGTCGGCATATTGGTTGAAATGATATGGTTGTCCTTTGTTGGAACCAGTGCCTCAGCAAAGGCATAGACAGATGCCATGTGGCTTGGGATGTCCCCAGGCTATCAGTGCAAAGAGCTGCCATGTCCACATCAACAGTTAAACTACCATAGATTTAATGCTATCTGCCAACTAGCAGGGATCCCAGAATATCCAAGGATATGATTCACAGAAGATAAGGTGATGCTGGGTTCACATCTTAATATCAACTAAAATGCTTGCTATAGGCATTCCACAATAAGCAGTGTCATCTTGCATGGTGATACTCTTACTCAAGCTGGACAGTGTCCAGTTGGAGAAATGTGTTCTGTGACAAATCAATGTTTTTGCTTGATGCTGATGACTGCCGCATAGGTGTCTGAAGACAGAGGTGAGTGGTCCAATGTACCATTTATTACCCAGCCCTACATCACCATAACACGACATGACAGTCTGGGTAGTGATCATCTGAAACAGCCATTCGTCATTACTCATGCTGTGAGGTACTCTTGACTGCTTGCAGGTACAATGCCAACATTTTGTAGCTGATCATACTGCCTACGGTAGCTGGTCGTCTGGGTTCCGTTTTCCAGCAGGACAATGCTCAGCCTCCTACAGCATGACTTCCCTGACAATATCTTCGATATGGTAAAGTTCTTAACTGGCCTGCCAGGTCACCAGAACTGTCACCTATAGAACATATTTAGGACATTATGGGATAGACAAATTCAGCCATATACAAATATGTCTTAACTCGCTGAGCAGATGCTTTATTTGTATCACAATCTCCTGCAGGGAGACTCTGGCAACTTAACAGACTTCATGCCCAATCGAGTATCGGCTTCTATAGCTGCCATGAGTAAGTTTACCACCTACTGATTTTCAGTCTTTGTACTGCATTCATAATCAAATTGCTTTTTTTCCCCCAATTTTTGATAATTTGTTTATCTACTCAAACCATACACTACTGCCGAGTTTCATAGTTGAGGCTCAATTCTTTCTGGGTGATAATTTTTTGCAACAAAGCATATACAAAGTAACTTTTTATGAGGATAAAAAAACTTTAGTTGCTATCTAACACGTTCATGATGCTTTAATAATTTATATACAGTAAAGTTCCAAACCTACATGTTCAAAATCCATGACAATATTCAAAATTAGTTTAATTAAATCATATCTGAGTGTATGCTATTAAGAAATTTTGACTAGACTTTGGAAGAAACTACAAAAGTTACTCTTCTCAGAATTAATCTGTGTTGGGCAAAACTTACCCAGTGTTCTCAAATTCAAATTATATGCCTGCCAAATTCACGATCTGAAAGTAGCTGATGGGCCACAATAAAAAAATTAAAAGAAATAAAAAAAGGAAGAAGCATTTTTAAATAATTATCTTGGTTTAAAAGAATTTTTTAACTACATTTAAAAAAAAAAAAATTCTGCATATATGCCAAAAACCGATAAAAATGGCAAATTCAAATTTATACGTATTTTCTGCTTTCCAGGAAATTGTCGATCAGCTAAGCCCTGAGTGGATGAGATTTGCCATCCATTAACAGGAACCCAGGACCAACTGTGACCCTAAAACGTCAAACATAGGGCTCTAAGATCTACCGTCTACACCACGTAAAAGTTAGGAAATATTTGTCTAACACATGCAGGGGTGTGCTTCCATCCAACATACCGCCTGCCCAAACCTTTATAACTCTACCACTGTAATAATCCTTTTCCCTGATGAGGGAGGAATGGTATCATGTTCCAGGGTCTCTCCAGATACAGGTGCTTTAAGTATCAGTGCATAGGCTGAATCTCGACTCAGCTGTAAAACATACGGTACTCCACTGATGTCAGTCCAAGGTGCATGTTGCTGTCTGCACCACACTACACGTGCCCCCTTTGTGTGTTGCAGAGAGAGACACAAACAGTGAGTTTTCTGGCATATAGCCCTATCTCATAAACCTTCGAGCAACTGCAGACCATGAAACTTGGGTTCCAATAGCAGCATAGAGTTCACGTGAGAACCGTGAAGCCATACTCACCCTGCGTAACCATGCTGAAAATACCCAATAACAATCCTCATTTGTCATTGTGGATCTCAGTTGATCTTGTACAGGTCTTGGTATGAATTCAGTGTCCTGAAACTATTTCCACATATTGCAGACAAGACTGGGCATTACATTAAGCTCAACAACCACCTCTGCTCATGATTAACCTTCCTCCAATCTACTGGATCAAAAACCACCTGTGCTTGTGATTAACCTTCCTCCAATCAATTGACAATTCTCAATCACATTCCATCATCCATACATTAGTGGTTCTCATTTTACCTGATACCTTATAAAATTTACCCAATTTTTGTGAAAAGCAGAGTGAATGTCAGGAAGGTGTATCAGAACACAAACCACCAAAAACTCCTTCTGCCCTTACCATAAATCCTCCACATACATGCAAGTGTATGCTTATGTATTCAACTCTGAATATTTGCATAGTTCTTTTGAGGCATAATTAGTACCTACAGTCCAATACCTTTCATAAAAATAGACATAGTTTACAAATTCCCTTCATTTTGCACACAAGTATCTTTGAATAAGATTTATATCACAGTGTAAATTAATTAGCTCCAGTTCTAGATTTTCTGGAGTGTAACTTATCTTCATTTTCAGTAATGAAAATGTAAAAGTGGATTCGAAACTATGAAATTCTTAAACTTTTTCCTTAAGTTCTTTTCATAATAATCCTAATTTATTTATGAGAAATGTTCATGGGAATTTACAAGGAATAGTTTTGTACATAAGTGCTTTAGAGGCTGCCAGTTTGAGACCACTGACATAAGCTGTTGTGAAATTTCACATGTAAAGAACATTTCAAACTTCCTACTAAAGAATAACTAATTATTAAAGAAAAATATTTAATTTTATAAAAGAAAAATATTTAATTGAAATTTTATGGATCAAAGGACATAGTGGCCATTTTGGTAATGATCAGGCAGATGAATTAGCAAAAGAAGCAGCTATTAATCAAGATGGTACTGAAATCATCATTTCGTAGACTCGCTCAAGTTTCAAGTACCAACTAAAACTACTTGTTTCAAAACCTTGGCAAGATTTGTGGAACAATGCTCCACAGGGAAGACACACATATAACTTGATCCCCAATGTAAGCTTCACATCTTTGTACTCGAATCCTTCATTAAATTACTTTATAACAGGACACAGGTCCTTCCCCACGTATTTCTATGCAAGAAATATGGCGAACTCTGACATCTGTATATGTGGGAAACAGGGAACTCCTGACTGACTTTCTCATGTCCCTTAACTCAGGATATTCACATAAAATCCACACGAACTGATCTCCTGGAATTCCAAAGGTTTTTAATTAAAGATAAACATCAGTATCCAAAGTTTCAGAAAATTATGCAACGAATCTCTTCCTATGGTCTAGATTTCAAGTGCAATTCCATATACTGCATAAATTTAGTGAACTTTTACATGCTGTGATTATGAACAAAATGACGCCACTCGAGAACTTTATAAACTGCAATAAACCTTTATATATGAAATAACCCATGGACACCCACCTCTTTAGCATTATTACTACAATATATTATAACATTGTCTTGACAGTACTAATTATAATTATCTCATTATGTTTATATGTTTATTAATTATGTTTATCTCCTATTTTGGTCGTACCAAATCAGATGTTCAATTTATTTTGTGAATTTCAAATTGTATTCAGACTATTTTGTAATCTACGAGGCATTTCGAAAAGTAAAGATATAATGGCTCGCATTCCTTAAAAAAAAAACATTTATTTAGAAAA